TACTAGGGAGCCTCAATCGCTTTAAGCTTCATCCGTACACACAAGAGGTTTTTTTCGTAAAATTTTTAAGAAACATTATACTTTTACCGATAAATCTTATCTGAGCACGTTTATCGTCGATTTATTAACAAGTAAGAGAACTATACTCTCCTCTATTCTATCGTACCTAGCCTCATTATTCAATACAAATTCTATTCATAGTTTTGTTTTACCACCTGCGAAATTTTTAGTTACCTGCTTTTTCTCCCACAACACTCTATTTTTGATTAAAAATTGCTTAGTGACAATTGTGCTGTCTGGTCCACCAATACTGATAGGTTTCAGAAATTGTTTCATCATACATAGCCTCATCCTTATATCCTCAAAGTTACGGCTGTTATCATCCCTATAGATGAAGGTTAAACTTGTGTATTGTTTTTTTTTTCGACATGAAACCTCAGGTAACCCTTCATCGAAATTTGAAGGAAACTAATTAGTTTCCTCCAAGTCTCTCATCTGAAAACCATTGTCAATATGAAAAAATAGACCTACGAGCGCACGACAATGTTAACAGTTTTATGTCTCGTTACGATTCATTTATTTTGTTCTTGGTGCCCTTCTTGAGGGAAAATTGCCAACACCTGCGTCTCAGCAATGTGAGAAGCTCATGCCTCTCATTAACCTGGTTGCTTTTAAGACCGAAGACAGGCACAAACGAAGTTTCAACTTAATTTTTTAAAAATGTTCCCAAAGGTGAACAGCCCATTGAAGTTGCCTTTCACTTCCTTCATTCGTGTGACTTTAAGGTCGCTGAAGCTAAAAGCCTTTCATCTAGAAGCGAAAATCCACCAATTCATGCCAAACTATTTTCGTCGATAGAAGTGGACTTTATTTTCTCGCATTTTGAGCGCTCACCTCAATATCTTAGAGTCTTTCCTTCATTAACAAACGTAAAGCCACTCCACAATTCTACTCAGCTGCCATTTACCTCTGAAGCAGATTCTTTATCGCGCGTCAACCAAATGTTCTTCCTGTCTGCAGCGGCCCTAGTGCCATCTAGATCTCCAACTGAGGACATTATCACTCATTCAGTTGATACCTGTCACTTTAAACCACCTCTAAGAAGCGTTGATTGCTCGCATGCTGCCCACAATTTTACGAGGGCACTTGATCTTAACAGTAAAGATTGGCCTATCCTAGAAACGCAATCAACCTCATGGACTCAGAATAATGAATACGTTAATAAACCCCGGTCAAGTCCACCCCGTTCCCATGCCAAGCCACTCAAGTCAGGCCTAGCAGTAAGATCAAACAAACCAGAAAATAGTCCAGGGAAATCTTTACTGGTTCCTATCCCTAATTCTTAACTGAAAGAAAACACCGCAGTTGTGAAACCCACTATCACACCAGCCTGTAAAATGCAAGTATGCAATGTTTCTGATAATTTTTCCAGCCCCACTGCTAGCCTGACATCCCACCTATTAAAGCCTTCTCACAATGTAAACTGCTTCTCGAAACCATTTAGTCCGTTACCTAACATAGATTGCCCCTCATATTATACTCAAAATTCTCAAAATCCTATTTTTATGTCTCCTATCTTTTCAACCCTACGAAATTGCATTCCTCTTCATGGTTCCTACGCAAATTTGTTTCCATAAAATGCTGCATCTTTAGGTAGTGGTTATATCCCCACAAATTTCAGACCACAGCAACTTTGTTTTCCACCTATTGCTTCTTCTCTACAGGTTAATTTTTTAACGCCAGCTCTTTTTATAAGTAACAATGCGCGAAACCTACATCTTAGGAATACGCTCAGTATAGTCGTGTAAAATATGGAACAAATAAGAAGTGTGGCCTTCGATTTTGACCCAGATGTATTGTGCATTAGAGAATCTTGGACTTATTCTCTCCCTTCCGACTCGGCGCTCGCTACAAATAGCTTCAGCTCATACCGCTAGGATCGTGTCGACAAACGTGGCAGTGGTTGCCTTCTTTACATCAGAGCCTCACTTGCACACTTGACCTGAACATTTCTTCCTTCTCTGGAAATCTATGTTTAGCTTCGGTAATCCTTCCGCAAAATAGGAAAGCCTTAATCCTTGTCACTCCGGAAATGAAGGCCAACTATGTGAACCCCTTGAATAAATCTCTGAGATCTCATTCGATGGCAAGATAATCGTAGGAGATTTTAATTTGCCAAAAATTGACTGACACACACACATATGTCCTCTCCTAAATTCCAGAAGCTTCTAGACAGCATTCACTTTTCAAACTTGTCTCAATTAGTCCACTCTTCGACCAGAAACGATAGTTTATTAGAATTAATTTTTACTAATGGCATCCTCCCTCTATCTATGGATTTCCTTCGTGACTTTTTTTTAAAGTGATCATGCGTTAATCCATTGCCGTCTTCCAGTTGCCATTTTCGCAAAGTCAACAGTAAAACGCAGCTTGTTTGACTATGTTAATATTAGCAAGGAATTAGTAAACAACTTTAAAAGCATTCTTGATTGGCACGATATTTTTTCAAATAATGATCTAGATTTTTTTGGCGATTTATTACAGTGCGTAACAGAAGCTCTCTTCGATCTCATTCCACTGAAGACGTCTAAACCGACTGCCACTTCCTGCACTATCCCACATTTTCTTAAAAACAGACTTAAAAATCTACGGCGGCAGCTTAGAGATCCTTCCGTGAGCTCATCATCAGCTCACCTAAGAATCGCCGAGATATTTGAATTAGCTTCAAAAATGGGGCTTGAGCGAGAAAGGCGTAGAGAGTCGTTAACTATTAGTGACGCGAATGCTTCTAAATCAGTTGCTCAGGTATTCCGTCAAATATCATCTGCTAAATACCACCAAGTCATTCCGCCTTGCTTGGTACCAGTGATACCTTCATTACAGAGGAGTCAGAGAAAGCAGAAATGTTAAATTCGTTCTTTCCAAACATTTTACCATTGAAATTGACTCAATCCCTTTAATTCCTCCGCTGTCTGGTGCTTCTCTCAGCATCATCAATTTCGTCCCTGCACCTATCCAAAAACTAATAAATCAGCCTACTAACTCGCACTCAGTAGGAACTGACAATATTCTAAACTCTCTTATAAAACAGCTAAGAGATTGTCCTCCTCTGCTTAACAAACTCTTTTCAGTCTGCCTCGAAAATTGTTTCTGTCCTGACTATTGGGAAGCTCCTATTATTATTCCGGCATTTAAATCTGGCTGTCGTTCTGATGTTCAAAACTATCGAAGTGTCCATCAGACACCTTCTCTCGCCAAAAGCTTTGAAAAAAATTATTGCCATGAAAATTACTGACTTTTGCATAGCCAATCAAGTTATTAGCCCTTCCAAACATGGCCTTTCACCCGATCGCTCTTGTGAAACATGTCATATGTTGTTTTTCAATCTACTTACCTCTTTTCTTAATCA